CCTATCTGGGTAATAGACTTTTCCTTTTTTCCTCTCCTTTGGATCCAGTTACTCCTTCTGGCTCAGGAAGTACAATTCCTGGCTGGGAGGATGGTAATGCCTTTGCATAACAAGGTGTGAAAGATAAGCTACTAGAGGTTACATGGATACTAGTTGTTAGCTAGAGGAGGAAAAGAACCCAACCGCTTCCCTCTTTGTAGATTCTACTTAGAGCCTGTCCTCCTGTCCTCAGTCCTTTGTGTTCATCCAGTGATGAAAACCGAGGTTGCTGAGAATGACAGTGAACCCTTCCGGGGGCTGCAAGTAAGAGTAGGCTGGGGGAGAGCCCGGAAAAGGCATGGGGGGGCGGGGTGGGGGGGTAGGGGAGGGGCTGCAGAGTAGGCGTGGCTACTGAAGCAACCTACAAGCTGAATCCCCCAGGGAGGCCTTTCCTGTAAACCCACCACACCTTCAACCAGCTAGATTTTCTCAACTGAATCTGAGGTAAAGGACTGATCGCTCTTTGGGATTTTGTGTGTTTGTTTGCTTGTTTGTTTTTATTTATAGACTGTCCTAACTTTCTCCCATAACAATGATGATTACTGCGAGGGTTACAGAGGCCATGGAATTTCAGAGAAAGGTCAGGTTCTTATCAGTAACCTGGGAAAGCTTCAGGAAGCTGAGAGGCTGAAAGTCACTAGAATTTCAGAGACTGTAGACTTTTTAATTTGAAGATTCTCTGGAGAGACTCAAGTCCATTCCCTAATTTCTAAGAAGGTTATCGAACTTTGAAAAATAGTGACATAGTGGGGTTGGGATGGGGTGAGACGGAGTGAAACTTAGAAGCCAGGCCAAAGGGGAGGGAAGACTGGAGGACGGAGAGAGGATCAGTTGCCTGATTATTCATAGGATTTTTTTTTTTTAAACTATGGGCAAAGGTGAACTATTTTAACAAAAGAAACTGAAATATTAATATGAACAAGATGTAAAACATTTGGATATGGCTCATGTTAGGAAAAAATATATGAGATTAGGGAAATTCTTTGAGGGATGAAGGTGGAAGAGAGGCATTACACTTTACTTGGAGGTGTGACTTTCCCACTGTGAACTCAGAAAACATGGGATAAGCCTCCTTCCATTTTCCTTCTTCCCTCCCCTCCTCCAATCTCTGACTCTGCTTCCTCCTTGTCCCTTTCTCCAGTCTCATTGCTGAGTGGGAATCCAAGCTGGGTGACATGGGGCTCTCCTTTATTGCTGCTTGCCATCCAGGGAATTTACCCACTACTGTGTGTTTGTGTGTGTGTGTGTGTGTGTGTGTGTGTGTGTCTGTGCCAGGCAGAGGCTGGGAGGCTGGGACCTGGGGCACTCTTTCCTCCATTTTGTAGTCTCCCCTCCCCCACAATCAGACATCTGGGTTAAGTGCTGCCTCTGTTAGGAACAAAAAATACAATAATAAAAAGCAGGAATTTGAGTTTTGAATTCCATCTGGAAATGATTAGAAGTGTGAATTTTGTTAATGGAATACGTCATCATTGTTCACAAAAAAGCTACAGAAATAGGCTTTGCCATTATAGTAAAGGCAACTGTAATTTTATTTTGGAACTGCTTCTGCCTCCTATTTCCTCATAATTTCTAGCCAAATAACTGAAATTAAAAATTGGTCAGCCGTGCTCTGATAACACTACTATTAAATCTTCTCAATACTATTACTTTCACTGTTGTCAGCAGAATAATTCAGGAATGAATCAAAGAGAACTCGAGCCCTGAAGTTTGCTTTCAGAGTGTTTTCAAGCTCTAGAATTGGTCTTGGGATAATTTAATCCCTAGGAACAACCAGGCTACTGAGATTTGGTTAGTCCGTTATGATGATGCAAAGTACCTAGAGAATAACATTCTGTTTCGTGGTGGAAAATTGGAGTCCTTTTTTCCAGTCAGAAGTATAAGGACTCTTGATGAGATACAGTGGGAAAAATTGAAAAAAATATATGAAGCTGGCTTCCTTCAGCCTCTCCTAGGATAGTTAATCAGCTCCGGAAATAACTTTACCAAAATGAGAAGAAGTTTCTTTTGGAGTTTAAAGAAAAAGGTTTTGGGTATTTAATGGAATTACTCCTTTGCTCTGATCTATAAGTAAGATGTGTTGACTTTCTGGATCCACAATATATGTCAAATCAGGCCATCTGTGTCTCTGCTTCTCTTGTTGCCCCCTTAGTTCAGCCCTCTTCTGCATGGGGTCTCCCCGCTCTGACCCCTGCCTCTCCCTCCCACCCTCACACAACAGCCAGTGTCCCTCTCTTATTGGGTGAGATAACCTCCTTCCCACCTCATCTCCCTGCCTGCCATCCTACAATGAGAGAAGTTTGGATTTACGTCTCACTGGGTCCCCAAAGTGGGCAACCTTCCCTGATTTTCTGTTGCTTCCTCTCCAGCACCCTGCTGTTCCTTTCATAAGACCTTACCACAACTCATAAATATTTTGTTTGCTTATTTTTTTTCTTGTCTCATCTTGTATACCAGATTGTATGACTCATGAATTTGGGAATGTTCTTGTTTCTGTCTCATTTATCTTTGTTTCCCAGTGGCAAGCTCAATGACTAGAACATAGTAGACTTTTTCTCCAGCATTTTTTTTTTTTAAATAAACACTTTCAAACAGGGGTGCTGGATGACTCAGTTGGTTAAGCATTTGCCTTCAGCTCAGGTTGTGATCTCAGGTTCCTGGGATTGAGTCCTGCATTGGACTCCCTGCTCAGTGGAGAGCCTGCTTCTCCTTTTCCCTCTGTTGCTCTCCCATGCTCATGCTCTCTTTCTCTCTCTGGCTCCCTCTCTCTCTATTTTAAATAAACAAAAATCTTAAAAAAAAACAAACAACTTTCAAACATGCAGTAAAGTTAAGAGAATTTTACAACAGACATGTGAATACCTGCCACATAGTTTCTACTAGGCTTTCTTCATCAGATATCTATCCATCTCTCCATTCCTTTATCAGTACATGGTTGGCTTTTAATATGTTTGCTGAATGAATGAATGAATGAATGAGTGCTACTCTTTTGGTTGGTAGATGGAAGCTGTTCATTCTGAGATTGGCCCAATACAAATACTGAGCTTCCTTATTTCTGTGTGGATACAGGGTATGGGCAACTATGTGATGTGCTCTAGAATGTGTACCTGCTAAGCTCTGTATTATGCACTGGGCTAGATACTGGGGACTGAGAAATAAGAACAAATTTCCTGCCTTCCAGGGGCACATGCTTTGCTAGAGAGAGAATCTAAATATGGTAATAATGGAAGAGGAAAGAAGTAGAAGATGAAAACTAGTGATTTCTTTTTTTTCTTTTTTGTACACGCAACTTATTAACAAAGACTGACCAGTGTTATCTTGGTGTTATAACTGCCTGATTTCTCAGTATTTTGTATTCTTTTGTTGCACAAATAGGTAAAAGCAGTTGTTGACTTGACCAATATCAGGGCAGGAATATTTTATGATTCCAAATTTAGTGAGTGACAAAGGCAAGTCCATTTTATTTTATTAAAGATTTTATTTATTTGATGGAGAGAGAGAGAGAGAGTGAGCACTTGCAAAGTGGGCAAAGGGAGAGGGAGAAGCAGGCTTCTAGCTGAGCAGGGAGCCTGATGTGGGGCTGGAACCCAGGACCCTGGGATCATGACCTGAGTGGAAGGCAGATGCTTAACTGACTGAGCCACCCAGGTGCCCTGCAAGCCCATTTTAACCATGAAACTTTTGACTATCTTTTTTTTTTTTTTTAAGTTCCATGATCACCATTGAAATATACAAATGACAGAAGGAAAGAAAAAGCATATAAAAAGTGTTTGTTATCTAGGCTAACGATGGTCACCATAAAGAGCATCTCTGCCTAATAGCAAATTGACAGAGCAGGCACAACAGGTGGGCTTTTCTTCCCTTCTGCGTGCAAATAGGTTTTTTCCTCCCATACTATGTTTGATTACATTTGTTGAACCCTCAGAGAAAATGCTTACCTTCAAAGTGACATCCTAAGACAGTGCTGTGCAATATCCTTTATGAAGGTTTACTGTGTCTCTTCACGTTTATTTTAACTCTTATTTTTAGAAGGAGGATTTTAAGAAGGTCAAGGAAGTATCTTTGTAATTGGATTCCAAGAGTACTTAGCAGGGGTCCATGTATATAAGGGTGTTGAATCATTGTGAACTGGGAATGTGTCCAAGTTCATGCTTAACTGCGAATCCTCTTTAAATATTTAAAAGTGAAAGCAATCTTTCAAAATAGGCATATAGGCCTGGACAGCGTAGAAATGGGTGAACACAGTACCTGGATAAGCAGCAAATGTGGAAACTGGGACCTGGGCTTCTGTTCCTCTGACCTCAGCTGTCTCCTTGAGCCCTTGCCTCTTTTAATCGATGTGGTTCTGCTTTCTAACTGGCAGTGACCCCATCCCATCATCTTTGATTTGCTCACGTTGTCCTCCCATGAGCTTGCATGTGGCACATACTTCTGGGACCCAAGCGGCCCCGCCCTGGATTTGCTTCCTTGCTTTGCCTCTAGGAGCTGAAAAACCTTGAACAAGAAATGCCTCTTTCTAAGTTCCACATACCTGTAACTGGGAGACCTTAATATCTACTTCAACATGGAAAATGGGTTCACTATGGAGAAGAACCTTGATAAATGTTTGTTTTATCCTGCTGTTTTAAGATCAGTTGTCCCGATGGATTAGTAAGAAAAGATAAATTTGGGGACAAATGTGGATGAAAGCACCTAGATAGTGCAATATGAGGAAAAAGCAAATCTGGAGGTGAGTATTTTATTTACAAAATTAAACCTAATTTTATTTTTCAAAAATCAACAAGTCCAGGTTCAGCTCTGGTTTATCTTTAGAACATGTGTTTTTGGTTTTGCTTCATTTTGTTTTTAACAAACATGCACATTAATCAGGCATGCCAAAAATCTTTCTCTCTAGCCTTCCTTGGAAATGTTTTTTCCATGACACAAACATGGGTGCAAATATTGTCCAAAAACTATTTACATTTTTACCCTCAGAATTACGAACTTTAATATTTATTGAAAGGAAAGACAGACTGTAATGTCTGGTCTTTGGCATTCACATTTGATTCAGCAGTACAATTAAAAACTTGTATTTGTTTTTAAGATAAACACTTTGAAGGAAATTTAATAAATCTTGTTTTCACTGTGCAAAGGAGCCACTATATCAAAGCATTTAACTGGAGCTGTCGAGTTCCTGCTGGTAGAATATTACTTCCAGCCTATTTATTAGCTTTTCTTCCTGTAGCCCAATACATACTCCCCCCACCACCTCCACTGAGTGAAATCACAGAAAGAAAGCAGTTTCTTTTCTCTTCCCCCCTCCCTCCCCAGCGTCATGCAAGGCAAGGTTCAGCCCCACAAGTCACAATATCTGAATTTACTTTGATTATATTTTGTTCCTTACACTTAATATTTTTTGTATTATAATACTTACTGGGTTATCTAAAATCAACATTGTTGATTTTAAACTCTTATAAAGCCAGACTTTTAGAGGCATTTGAAATAATTCATGAACCATGTCTGAAAAGAGATAATTGCCTCCAGCCTATTCTTTTGCACTTGAAGTAAAAGAATTTTAGGTATCAGCAATTTATTAGAAAATAAGACTTTAGGAGGCCCATATAATTTATTCATGTCTTTTTATATGTTGTAAACAAGGATAGGATACTTTTGACAGGAGCTTTTGAACAAAATTTTTTTTAAAAATATACCCTTTAGTACAGAATAAGTATCAAGGGAGCATTTTAAATGATTCTGGTAGGTTTCTTATGAGCCGACTTTTCAGAAAAATTTTCTATGAAATTTCCTGATTAAAAAAAAAATCTAAAGTTGTAGGTTTCAGTTGAGAGAATATGGTTGGCATGTGAGGTAAGATGTTTCTGTTATATGGTTGATGCACAATGTAGAGTGTATGAAAGAACCTAAAAGGCATCTATCCCACATTTCAGGCAAGATATAAGAGTGCATAGAGAAGAGAGCTTTTCAGAGCAGACAGTGAAAGAAGACATAGTATTCACATAAATCGGTAAGTTGTAAGCAACATATACATAGGCAATGCCAAGTCACAGAATGCAAACAAGATCAATTCGAAATTGTACTGTGATAGCCACACATTTTGGAGAAAAATTCCCAAGCCAGACGAATGTGGATTGGGATAAAAACATAGGCGGTGTACACCACCATAGCAACAATGGTTAGTAAGATGGTATTGAACATAGATTGCTCCCAGGGCTCCAGGACAGCACAGCAGCTAATGATTTGGTATTGATAGTAGAGCCAGGAGAAGTAGTCCTTCACACGCTTGAAATCCATGGTTGGCTCCTTCAAGCTGCGGAAAGTCTGTCCTGTTAACAGATCCGAAGAAAAATAAAATGAGGAACCAAATACAGACTCTCCTTAGAGTTTCATGATCTCAGCATGTTAAAACCTTTGAAAGAACGTCAATGACCACTGGATGGATTGTCTATATGAATATTATATAGAAATAATTCACAGTATATTAATCATAGGAACTCATAATATTGCCACTATGAATAATAATTCATATTAGGATTAATGGGAGCAATATTATTAATAATAGTATTATTTATCTAAAAATGATAATTGCCGGTGGATAGTCTAGTGAAAATACCTAAAAATCAAGGCTAACCACATTTTCTTTAGCTATGTATGTAAAGAGAAGTGTGAATATTCTGTTTCCTACAACATGTATTCTGGAAGAAGATTTAAAGAACGGTGTGCAGAAAAGAGTTAATACAGCAAGCCTGAGGATGCTATCTTTATAAGGGTCTGCTTGCAAGTTTTTGGCCCTCAGCTGGCATCCGGGAACTTGGCTTTTGGAATGTTCTCTCTACTCCCTAATGGATAAGGATAATTCACTATGCCTAAACTGTGCAAACACCATAGTTTTTGGGAATACATGATTTATTTTGGAAGTCTGAAATTTTGGTGATCGTTAGGCAGAGGGTATCCACAGAACCAGCCTGAGTAAGAATCTTGAGGCTGAGTCTCTAATGAGCTGCTCTGGGCAGAAATATTGAGTATGTATCACTGTACTTTTTGCTAGTGGAGAAAGCAGCACACTTGGTCTGTCCACTAATGGGAGGCAGAGAGCATCGGAAGCCTATAAATGGATTTTTTCCAATTCTACCTGTATCTTTCTTCTTTGCCGATCCTGTTGTACAACCTTTCACTGGAACAGTCCTTATTAGTCTGCTGTAAGTGTAAATATATATTCAGCTCTGTGAGTCTTTCTAGTGAGTCACTGAGTATGTGGGAGGTCTTGGGGACCTCTGAAACAAATGGGAAGCCCAAAGTTGGGTGATAATTTGGGTTATGGGTAGAGAATTTATGAAAACCTTATAAAAATGTTTGTTGGTCCCCAGATAGAATTACACTTAAAATCACATGCATGTAAAACTTCCTAGAAAGAAGGGCATCTGTTATTTCTTAAAAAGATTCTTGGGAAGATTCCATAAACTTTCACAGACACTATGGGAATATAAGCTGACCTTTGTGCCCCTTCTACTTACTCCTAAGAATATCATGGTGCCACATCATCTAAGTCCACTTTGACTATGTTTACTATTCAAATCACAGTTAAAGTTTTTGAAGATCATTTCTATCTTCTGACCTAAAAATATCTTTCTTTTCTTTGATTCTCTTTGAGTAAAGATAAGATGTTTTGCTCCATTAGACTATGTACTCCTCAGGATATGGGGAAAACTTTCATCATCCTAAACCCTGGCCACAAAGATGGTCATAAGTAAATATGTACTGAATGAATGAGTAAATGAATGATGAGTAACCAACTTAAAAAAAAATTATAGCTCACTGACAGTTCCAACCTAAGTAGGATATGGTTAGCTATTGTTGACTTTCGACAGCTTGGCTTTGATAAGTAACTCTTTCTGATAAGGGTAATTTCCACAAAAACTTAAAATGGAAAGTCTTTGTGTTACCAGGTTATGATTATCTATAATAATGGCCAGGATAATCCAAATAAGTAGACAATACAAACTGAAGTTGTTGTACTTTCTTATGAAAAGAAAAGTCAGCCTCCCAACTGTCCTAGAAGCCAGAGTGGGAACTACGTAATTGGATTGAAATGCCTTGTCCTGGTAGGTGGACCTTGATTAAGAAGTCACTTTCAACATTCTTTTTAAGTCCTAGCTCTGGTTGCAGAGAAAGAGCAAGGCCAATAGAGTTAGGTCTCAGAGGGAATGAATGACAGAAGTGGTCATTTCAGTGAGCAATATTATCTAAGTAACCAACATTTTCTACTGATAGACCAAAATGGAGAAAATTAGGAGGTATCACTATTTGAGATTTTAGACTGTCCTACTAGACAACTGTATATTTCAAACTAACCTTAATCGTTAAATATCTCACTCATGGCTACCCATATTTGCTTCCTCTTCATTACCTAGATAGGGTTCAGGGTGGCACTGGGTAACCATTCCAGAGTGTGAGAAAACATTCATCAGGTTTCATGTCCAGGCTGTAGGAAAGGTGGGAGACTGATGGCTCAGACAGGCCCAGACCCTCCCCTTAGGAAGCTGGGTCCAGTTGAGGAGACAGGTAGCAATCAAGTGGTATACACAAATATGTAATTATCAACTACATTATACCTTTAAGGAAAAGAGTATTGTATGAGATGCTGTGGGAAACCTGATCCAGTCTCAGCAAGTCTTGGAGGAAGAGATGCTTTAGATAAGATCTGAGGGATGACTGTAAGTCATACAGATAAAATGGGTAGTGTGGGGGCGGGGAGAATGGCCAAGAGAGGGATCAACCGATGTTTGTGCAAAAGTTAGAGGTGGGAAGAGGTTTGACAGATGTTTGTGGGGCTCAGGGAATGGAGCCATAGATATATGGGGATGGAGAGTGGGAGTAGGAGAAAACTTAAGAGAAGGGAATGGCCAGAGTTAGGCCAAGCACTGCAGGGCCTATTTGGATGAGCTAAGTACTTTGGCTTTATCCTATGAGTGAAGGGGGCTGTGGTGGGTTTAGGAGAATAAGGCATTAAGTTCACATGGACACATGGCTTTCTCTGCATTCTAAAGCCAAGTTGAAATGATTTTAAAGACCAGACATTTCAAAAAATCTATACTCCTGCTGTCCCAAGGGCGTTACTCATTCAGAATCAACCTTCTACCAAAAATCTGCTTAAAATATTCTGAATACTCTTTCACTTTTATAAATGAGATAAGCTACTCATTTAGAAATGCCATTGACTTTTTCTCTCTACATTTTAGCTTTTAAAAATATACATAATTAATTGCCTGGTCATAGCTTTCTCTTCTATTTTTTTTTTTTTTCAAGTAGTCTCTACACCCAGTGTTGGGTATAGCTTTCTCTTTTAAAATTAAATTTCTTGCTTGAGCAGCCCTGATGGCCACCTTGACTGCAATCCTATGAGAGACCTTGAGCCAGAGGCACACAGCTAAGTTGCGCCCAGATTCCTAAGCCACAGAAACTCTGAGATAGTCACTGTTCATTGTTTTCAACTGTTAAAAACCCATCAATCAAACAGGCAAACATTAAATCTGAAGCACACCAACACGCATTACACCTGGATACCTGGTAAGACTTCGGTTGTACACTACTAATAATTTAAAGAATCGAGATTTTAAAAGCTTTTCTTTCCTTGCCAGTTTTCCCAGGCTCCTGTGTCACTTCCTACTCTCTCAGGAGCCAGTTCGGACATGCAAAAGTGCTTGTACCATTGGATATTTCTTCTTGATTTGTTAAAGGTTAGTTGACCATAGAGTTGAAGATCCATATCTGGGCTCTCTAGTCTGTTCCATTGATCTATGTGTCTGTTTTTGTGCCAGTGGAAAAGAGACAGTCTCTTCAATAAATGGTTGCTGGGGAAATTGGACAGCTATATACAGAAGAATGAAACCTGACCATTCTCTTACACCGCACACAGATAAACTATAAATAGATTAAAGGCCTCAGTGTGAGGCAGGAATCCATCAAAATTCTAGAGGAGAACATAGGCAGTAACCTCTTCAACATCAACCATAGCAACTTCTTTCAAGACACATCTCCAAAGGCAAGGGAAACAAAAGCAAAAATGGACTTTTAGGACTTCATCAAGATAAAAAGCTTCTGCCCAGCAAAGGAAATAGTCAACAAAACAAAGAGGCAACCCATGGAATGGGAAAACGTATTTGCAAATGACACTACAGATAAAGGGCTGATATCCAAGATCTATAAAGAACTTCTCAAACTCAACACCCAAAAAAACAAATAATCAAATCAAAAAATGGGCAGAAGACATGTATAGATACTTCTCCAATGTCTTAAGACACACAAATGGCTAACAGACACATGAAAAAATGTTTATCATCATTAGGCATCAGGGAAATTCAAATCAAAACCACATTGAGATATCACCTTATACCAGTGAGAATGGCAAAAATTGACAAGGTAAGAAACAACAAATGTTGGAGAGGTTCTAAAGAAGGGGGAACCCTCTTACACTGTTGTGGGAATGCAAATTGGTGCAGCCACTTTGGAGAACACTATGGAGTTTCCTCAAAAAATTAAAAATAGAACTACCCTATGACCCAACAATTGCACTACTGAGTATTTACCCCAAAGATACAGATGTAGTGAGAAGGGCCACATGCACCCCAATGTTCGTAGCAACAATGTCCATGATAGCCAAACTGTGGAAAGAGCTGAGATGCCCTTCAACAGACGAATAGATAAAGACGTGGTCCATATACACAATGGAATATTACTCAGCCATCAGAAAGGATGAATACCCAACTTTTGCATCCGCATGGACAGGACTGGAGGAGACCATGCTAAGTGAAATAAATCAAGCAGAGAAAGTCAATTGTCATATGGTTTCACTTATTTATGGAACATAAGGAATAGCATGGAGGACATTAGGAGAAGGAAGGGAAAAATGAGGTGGGGGGAATCGGAGGGGGAAAAGAACAATGAGAGACTATGGACTCTGGGAATCAAACTGAGGGTTTTAGAGGGGAAGGGGGTGGGCGGATGGGTGAGCCCAGTGATGGCTATTAAGGAGGGCACGGATTACATGGAGCATTGGGTGTTATACGCAAACAGTGAATCATGGAACGTTACGTCAAAAACTAATGATGTACTGTATGGTGATTAACATAGCATAGTAATAATAACAACAATAATAATAAAGTGTTTGTACCACTACATCTTACTTCAGCCTCCTGAAGCCTAAAACTCAATAAAAGGCATTGATTTCTCCCCTCACTTTGATTCTTTTTCCCTTATTGATGAAAAGCAATTTTAAAGATGGTTTATTTGTTTCCTGGGTGGGAAGGTAAATATATAAATTAGTCAT